GTGACTGCAGGGATTCATCTTCTTGGTTCTTTCGGTAAAGTCACGTAGAAGGGAAATAAAAAAAAACAATATATTATTTTATCATGTTTTATTTTTATTATTTCCCTTCTACGTGACTTACCGAAAGACCAAGAAGATGAAGCCTGCTGTATATTTGAAGTTTGCGTGTCTCTCTCGCCGTGGTCGCGTTGATTTTTCTCCAGGTCCTCCGTTTTTTTTTCCCCTCAACATTTAGAACCAACGTGCCTTGGAGTACTTGGCTGCTATAAATTTCCACGTGATAAGCCACTTCGTTGAGCTGCCATTTGTGGCCAGGTCGCGTCTGCAACAACAAAAAAGAACTATAGCTCAGTGGGCCTTACCGGGTAAAACCATAAATAAATGTGTTTTACCTTGACAGAGTACAGTTATTAGATTGTTTTCATTTGTCTTGCTGGAACCATGTTTCTATTGAGTAGCCAGGTCACGATCGAAAACGGGCATTCATTGTCGACTGGGTTTTTACCTGTGCCAAAATAAACCAAGGCAATTTTTGTTACTAAACTTTAAATGCGGGTGTAACTGTCGCATCGCAGAACCTCAAAGAGGTGGCGGCGACTTGGCGGAGGGCTTCATCTAGCAGTGGATAGCCCGATTTAAGCCTTTCCTCTCTACGTAGTTTCGCAAACACGTAGTCACTTCATAATGCCGCTACCCGATTTGCGTCGCCTCAACCCCCACACTCACGTCGCTGAAGGCATCGTCCGTCCTTTTAAATCCTTTATATTAAGTTCGCTTGCTTGCTTGCTTACGACCGTGCAAATCTTTCGGTCGTTTTTTAACCCACTTCCCGTGATCCAATCGAGCTGACATTTTCCACACAGACTCGTTGTGCGAGACAATTAATGTTCGTGAAAAAAAATTGCCAAAATGTTACACTTTTTAGGCAAAAAAAATATTTTACATTTATTCAAATAGAACTCATTCATGGCTTTGGCTGAACGTCAGAGTGTAGGAGCCCAGAGCGTGACACCTCCACAGGCCGTGGCGGAGTAGCGCAGTTGGTAGTGCCCTCGCTTCCCATGCCAAAGGTCGTGGGATCGATCTCCGCGTCCTCCACAGGCGAATATATTTTTAAATCCTTTATATTAAGTTCGCTTGCTTGCTTAGGACCGTGCAAATCTTTCGCTCGTTTTTTAACCCACTTCCCGTGATCCAATCGAGCTGACATTTTCCACACAGACTCGTTGTGTGTGACAATTAATGTTCGTGAACATTTTTTTCCAAAATTTTACACTGTTTAGGGAAACAAATTAATATTTAATTACCAATTGCTTAATACTGGCAGACAATCATCTGACCCATAAGTGGCAGCCATCTCAAGCCAGAGGACGAGAAGACTCTAGCCGCCATGCATACAAAGGATTTATAGTGAAAAACTTTGTTTTACGGGTTAATTTGTTCAGTTATCCTGTCGTCTCTCAGCCTTCGCCTCCACCATCTAACCTCGTAAATATCTTTGATTGACGTTTCAATATTCAACGTCACACCTTTCAGGAACGCATCTCCCCAGACGTAAGCCGGGGTCTAACTGTATTGTGGTGTGATGGGTGAGAAGGCTCGTGAAGGACGCTACTGGGAGTTGGAGGCAGTCGGTCGTCCTCCAGCAACAACGGAGGACAGAGGAGCGATGCTCGCAACCATGAGCGGAGCCGGCAGGCGGCTAAAATGCAGCAAGTTGGCACAGGAGGGGTACAGCTGGTGCATCTGCCAGTCTTCTCAGTTGGTCAACCCATAGCACCTGAGTCTGCCCCGTGACCTGCTGCCAGCGAGCCTTCGAAATATGAAAAATAATAGGTTTCTACCCTTTCTAGCAATAAAACAGGTGTTAAGATGTTCAAACACCAAATAGAAACCTTTTGCAAGGAATAAAGTCTCCATTAACCACACGTACTTGTGGTGAACATGCAAATGATCATGTTCTGATAATATATAGAGCATTGTCTTTGAAACTGATTGGCCTACACCAGAGACAGCATTCTTCATGGTTTAGTCTCACTAGTGTCAGACCAGAGAACGCCAAAAGGCAAACAGAGCCTTCGACACTTCACGTGGCCTCAAAGTACACCTGGCCTGGCACAGGTGCCCTCGGGATGTCGCTGCCACTTAAACTAACATTTTATTTTACCAGGTAAGGCCCACTGAGCTATGTAGCTCTTTTTCAGAAGCTGCCCAGCCACAACTGATAGCTCAACGAAGTGGATTATCATACGCAAATTTCTAGCAGCCTAATGCTCTAAATGCATATTTCCAATGCGGAGGGAAAACCGGGGCACCTAGTGGCGAACGGCGACCGTTGTTTGTCGCATATCGTAGCGCCGACTGTTCAATCGCACGCAGGTGACCCAGAAATGCGAGCTGCGGCGGAGGTTGGCGGGGTTGCTGAGGGCTCTCGCGGAGCGGGAGGGGGACCCGGAGCCCCCCGCGCCGGCGACATCGACGACAACGCCCCTCGTCGCCGCGCCTGATCCGGCGACAGCGACGACAACTCCCCTCGTCGCCGCGCCTAATCCGGCGACAGCGACGACAACTCCCCTCGTCGCGCGCCTGATCCGGCGGACAGCGACGACAACGCCCCTCGTCGCCGCGCCTGATCCGGCGACAGCGACGACAACGCCCCCCGACGCCGAGCCTACGCCTCGGCACGACGGAGGCGCCGGCATGAAGCGAACGTGAGACCGAGACGCGCAACAGCTCGTCGTTACCAAGGAATTTACGTGCTTATGAAGGAGGGCTGTGGCCCAAAACGTCACGGATTACATTTTTTATTTTGTTTTCCTTTTAAGGCAGTTTGGTTGGTGAGTGTGTCGAGTTTTGCGCCACTGCCAACGCAGTGTCTCCACATTGTTTGGGTATTACTATTGTTGTTATTATTACGATTATTTGCGCAGGAAAGCCTCGCTAAAGTTTCCAGACTTTTTCAGGAGGGTCCTGCATGTTTTTCGCAAAGGGCGGCTGATGTTTCTGTGTTTAGTCCCAATTGAATTATTTGCAGGTCATGTTTTCAGCATTGGGATGGTTTCTTGCCAATCCCAGTTTCTTTTGCTGGAGAATTTGGAGCAAACCCAGGCCGAAACGATGGGAGAATATACAAACTCTGTACAGACAAGGCACTCAAGTCAGGAATCGAACCCAGTTACATCTTGCTTTGAGGCACAAGTGTTACCACTGTGCCGCCTTGCCGTCCAAAACGATAAACAGACTTGCAGACAAACACCGATACACTGAGAGACAGACAGGCAGGCAGGAATGCAGTTGGACAAGTGAATAGACATTGCCAGACAGGCCTAAAGAGAGACAGACAGAGAGAACATACAAACTCCACGCAGATAGTCGGAAGTCGAACCCAGGACGTCGTCGTGAGGTGCGAATGTTACTGCTGCGCTGCCACCTTGCCGATGATCGGATGACGAGCGTCGTTGTTGCAATGGTTTACGTAGCGTGGTGTAATCGGCGAGTAAGCGGTCAGTCGGCCTCATCGTCATCATCACCAGCTGACCGTGTGGCTCAGGAGGACTCGATTCTGTGCCACGATATAGTTTCACTCGATTTGTATAAAATATTTTTTGACAATAGATAGATAGATAGATCGTTTATTGTCATGTCACCAGTACAACGAAATTTAAAATGCTCACCAGTCAGGGGCCTCATTCATAAATTTAAATTAATAAAACAAGAAAATAAAATAAAATGAAATGAAGATAATCAATTTATACTATATATAAAAACAGCCCAAGTATACCCACATACCCACATAAGGTTACATTTTGTCATTGCACATCTCTATTTCACAGTCAATGTAAACGCTATTACTTAATAATTAATTAGCATTATTGAGTGTGGTGATCGCTGTAGGATAAAAGCTCTGTTTGAATCTGTTTGTCCTTGTTTTGACTGATCTGAATCGTCTGCCTGATGGCAACAGCTCAAACAGTGAGTGTCCAGGGTGAGAAGAGTCCTTTATAATGTTCTGTGCTTTTTTGATGCAACGTGAACTGTGTAGTGCTTCCAGTGTGGGGAGATGGCAGCGGCGATCTTTTGGGCTGTGTTGATGACCTCTGGAGCGCTTTCCTCTGAGCCACTGTGCAGCTGGTGTACCATACACAGATGCAGTATGTAAGAATGCTCTCGATGGAGGCTCGGTAGAAGGACCCAGCAGTTTCTGTGTGATGTTATTATTCCTGAGAATTCTCAGTAAGTAAAGTCTCTGCTGGGCCTTTTTCAGAAGCTCAGTGCTGTTGGCGCTCCAGGTCAGGCCCTCCCCAATGTGGACTCCCAGGAAGCAGAAGTCTGCCACCCTCTCCACACAGTCCCCGCTGATGATTAGTGGTGGAGTGTCCGTTTTCTTTCTCCTGTAGTCTATTATGAGCTCCTTGGTCTTTGCGGTGTTAAGGAGCAGGTTGTTGCCCCGGCAGTATGCTGTCAGCCGCTCCACCTCGTCCCTGTAGGCAGACTCATCCCCCCCAGAGATGAGCCCCACCAACTGTGGTGTCATCAGCAAACTTCACAATGGTGTTGCTATGGTGAACGGCGGCACAGTCATGTGTGTAGAGGGAGTAGAGCAGTAGAGCAATCGATAGGATGGATAAGAAATGCATCCATCCTTTGAAAGAAAACTTCGCATCCTACTCACAAACAGCGAAAAGGTTTGTTGTCGACTGCATGCGTTTATGATGTAGAGAATAGCTTGTAAGGAGAAACGAGCTACGGATGGCTGAACGGGCGACCGTAATCGCTGTGACTTGTCAGCGTTGACGGTGGTGAGCGTGCGCTGTCGCGACATCGTCACCCGGCCGCCTGCGATAGCGGTGAGCGCGCGCCGTCGTGACGCCATGTTACCGCAGCGCGGTGGAGAACTTCACTGTGTGCCTCCCGTTTTTGTCACGGCAGAAGCGGGACGCGGGGCTCTGCTCACGTGGGCCCCAGAGACCGCGTGTGCGCCCGCGAAGCAGCATAAGCAGGAGGCGCGGAGCGAGGGGACGCCAGAGAAAACACGCGCCGGACAAACAGGTGCGTGCGTGCGTCGGCATTTGGCGTCCGCCGCGACGGAGCGGGCAGCCGGAGGTGCTGTTCGAGATTGGAAGTGCGCGGGCCTTCTAGCCCCGGCCGGTTTAGCTCAAGCGACACGCGCTTGCTCGCTTGTGTCCGTCAGCGAAAGAAGCGGGGACGCGTCCGACGGCGATGACGGCGCCGGCGGTGGTGTCGGCGGCGGCGAAGAAGGAGGTGGAGCCGGTGGCCCCGGCGGGGCTGCGGCGGCTGCGGGAGCGCTGGGGGAACGCGCGCTTCGCCGTGACGCCGCTGGTGGGCCACAGCGACCTCGTCACCGCCGTCGCCTTCCACGGATCGTACATCGTCTCCGGCAGGCAAGGACACGCGAGCTCTCGCGAGAGAGAGAAAGAGGGGGGGGGGGGGGAGGTGGGGGTACTCCTCTCCCTCGTGCGGAGAGAGAGACGGACAACATTTTTATTTTAATAGGAGCCCAGTTTTATTATTTACCGAATGCTTTTACACAGAGTACCAGATACACAAGGGAATACATTCATAACTTCATCAATTAAATGCATATGTATGTCAATGTTACGTGAGTGGATGTCAACCCACGTCCACTCACATAACACCGACATACATATATTACATACATATATGTATGTCGAAGTTATGTATTTTACAGAGTACAAAGCATGAGGCAGGCAGGGCAGTTACAGAAACTCCGCGGACCTCAGTCCCGAACTTTGTGCTCCTGAGTTTAACGACGGGGAGGTGGGGGGGGGAAGAGTGGGCTCGCCATTCCACCGATCGGGGACCACGAGTGGGCTGTGTGTATTTTAATATGAGGGGGGACGGTGAGGGGAAACAGAACTTTAAAAAGAAAGTGTAGGGAGCAGGGGGGAAGGAGGGGTGGGGAGGAGTGGGGAAGGGGCGGGGGAATGGTCAAAGGAGAGGGAGGAGCACTTAGGCAGGAATAAATTACACACGCACATTGCTGAACTTATCAACTTATCATTGTCCCTAAGAGCGGTGATGGACTCAAGCCCATCCCCGGAGGAAGGAACTAAAACTAAACTATTTGAAACCAAACTATTTTTTCAATTTTATCAGGTAAGGCCCCACTGAGCGACGTAGCTCTTCTTCAGAAGTGACCTGGCCACAAATGATAGCTCAACGAAGTGTGCTCATCATCATCTAGAAAGTTATTGCAGCCAAATCCTCTAAATGTACGTTTCTAAATGTGGAGGGAAAAGCTGGAGTACTCAGAAAAATCCATGCAACCACGGAGAGAGAGACACGCAAACTCCATATATACAGGCGCATACCAGGCGAGGGAGTTAACATCTAGCCACCGCGATACTGGGCCGGCACAGCTCAGTAATTTGGGGGTAATTTTTCGATTGGACCGTGATGCCTAGCACACAATGGGCTGCTTGTTTGAAATAACGCCACAGGATCTTCAACGAACCACTGTGAAGCAGACGGTGCGTAGTATTTTACGCTTAATCCACCAGCAGTAATAACCAGGGCAGCCACTGCAATCGTACCGCGAACCTCTGAAAATAGAGGTACCTCTGGGCCCTGTCACTTCCCTGTGCATATTTCACGATGGCATTTTTGTATTGTACGAGCATTTGTTCGTGTGCTCTGTGCCGTGTTGTTGCGACGTCGCCTGCAGCCGCGATACGACGGTGAAGCTGTGGCACGCCGCGACGGGCACGGAGGAAGCCAACCTCGGCGGGCACACAGGCAGCGTCACCTGCGTGGCCATCGCCCCAGCCGCCACCGCCCCGCCATCGGTAAAAATTTACCTTCGCTGAACTACGGCCTTTGCTAAACTGGGGTCGTTACTGAACCAGAGCAATCGCTAAATCGGAGTGTGTGTCATTGCCGTGTGTTCAGGGAAGGCTCTTGATTGCGCGGACGATGAGGATTTCTTGGCGAGTGGATCCAGTGACTGCACAGTGAAGATCTGGTCTCTGCGCACAGGTAAAGAGAGCGATCGCTGGGTGCCGAGTCACCCTGTGCCGCACAGGGACAGCTGCCGCTGGAGGGTGCCCTTTGAGACGTTAGAAATATAGATGCAATGTGTGTCGATCGTCGCATGCGAAGCGCTTTGAGACACAGGGTGCTCTATAAAAACAAGCGATCGTTGTCGTCGTGGGTGACGCGGCCGCAAAACGGTCGCTCCTTCGCTGCGCCCGTTGTAGAGGTTCGCGGTTGAGACCCAGCGGTCGTCCTGGTTAACGCCGCGGGTGCATTCGCCGTAAAACACCACACGCCGTTTGCTTCATGGCGGACGTTAGAGATCTCATGATGTCTTTCGCAAGGGTAGGCCACTGTGTCGCCGGCGTCACGGTCCAAATTTGACAAAATTTGAAATAGTAATAATAAAATAATCATAAAAATTACACAACTGAGATTACACACAGCAATCGTGGCCCCCTACTGGCAGACCTCGGAGCTTGGACAATCGTTGGCACCGGTTTCTGGCCACCTTGCAGCCTGTCTCTGTTTCCTGCCATAATCAGCTAGATGCACCCAAATGGCCCCCTCTCTTTAGTAACCGACGTTCTGATTATGATTATTATTCTTGTTACATCTGTGTGTGAGGAGCGGTTGTGTAGCGGTTGGTGTGCGCTGCGGTATGAACCCGGCGACCCGAATTTTGATTCCCGCTCGTGGTCAACACTCGTGACGATTATCTGAAACGGTTCTGGGCCTCCCCAAGGTGCGGTGTAGTAAACATCGCCACTGGGGAGACAAAGGGCGGTGGTGCTGACCACCTACCCCCTCGTGCGCCGTGCCGGCCTTCATAAGTGCTACTCGCTAACAGCACTTGCCCCAACAGTGTTAAAGGCTATACGGGGATCTTTGTTGTGTGTGTGTGATGTTTTCGCTAACAGCCCTTGCCCCAGCAGTCTGTTAAAGGCTATACGCGGGATCTTTGTGTGTGTGTGTGTGAGATTCGCTAACAGCCATTGCCCCAGCAGTCTGTTAAAGGCTATATGGGGGATCTTTGTTGTGTGTGTGTGAGTTATTGCTAACAGCCCTTGCCCCAGCAGTCTGTTAAAGGCTATACGGGGGATCTTTGTGGTGTGTGTGAGCGAGATTCTCGCTAACAGCCCTTGCCCCAGCAGTCTGTTAAAGGCTATACGGGGGATCTTTGTTGTGTGTGTGTGAGGTTCGCTAACAGCCCTTGCCCCAGCAGTCTGTTAAAGGCTATATGGGGGATCTTTGTTGTGTGTGTGTGTGAGGTTCTGCTAACAGCCCTTGCCCCAGCAGTCTGTTAAAGGCTATACGGGGGATCTTTGTTGTGTGTGTGTGTGTGAGGTTCTGGCTAACAGCCCTTGCCCCAGCAGTCTGTTAAAGGCTATACGGGGGATCTTTGTTGCGTGTGTGTGAGGTTCTGGCTAACAGTCCTTGCCCCAGCAGTCTGTTAAAGGCTATACGGGGGATCTTTGTGTGTGTGTGTGTGAGGTTCTGGCTAACAGCCCTTGCCCCAGCAGTCTGTAAAGGCTATACGGGGGATCTTTGTTGTGTGTGTGTGAGGTTCTCGCTAACAGCCCTTGCCCCAGCAGTCTGTTAAAGGCTATGCGGGGGATCTTTGTTGTGTGTGTGTGTGAGATTCTCGCCAACAGCCCTTGCCCCAGCAGTCTGTTAAAGGCTATACGGGGGATTTTTGTTGTGTGGTGTGTGTGAGGTTCTGGCTAACAGCCTTTGCCCCAGCAGTCTGTTAAAGGCTATACGTGGGGGGACTCTGTCTGTGTGTGCTCAGGGCAGGAGGTGCGGAGCGTCTACACCTACAGCCCCGTTTCGGCGATCGCGTTCCTCCCCGAGCCGGGACTCCTCCTCTCCGCGTCCGGTGATTCGCGGGAGCACCATCACACACACGCACGCACGCACACGCGTACGTACACACACGCATACACACGGATTATTTTTTCCCCCTCCAAATTGGAGTCCGGTACAGAGTACAAAACCGCGACGCAGAAAGGGGGGGTACAGAAACTCCGCGGAGCTTAGTCCCACCGCGCACACCGACGTTCAAGATCCCGTGACGTCACTCAAAAGAGTAGGCCGTCCGTCGTGTGCCCCGCGACACGCTTTACATTCTCTAAATGTTGAAAAATGACTCAATGCCAAGTCGCTCGGTGGGTATCACGCACAGCAGCAGCAGCAGCAGCAACATCACCGCCCCCCCCCCCCCGCTCCTCCACTGTGAATCTACCGCAGAATGTGTCTGTGAAATATAGCTGCGCCTCTGTGATAGCCTTGTCCTATGAGAATGGTACGGAAATAAATGTTGTAGTAAATTATGATTAACTGTTAATGTAGCCCTCTCGTGGCTATCAGACCTCGACATTGGCATTTATGCTGCTGAGCGTATTGTCTGTGTGTGTGCGTTCTGTGTGTGTGTGTCTGTGTTTGGGGAGCGGTAGTGGAGCGTTTAGCGCGACGCGCTACGGCGACCCGAGTTCAATTCCCGCTCACGGCCAACAACAACGACGATTTTCAGAAACGGTCCTGGGCCGACCCTAGGTTGACTCAGCCTCAATGAGTACCTACTGTGGTGTGCAAACATCGCCACTCGGGCGTGGTGCTGGCCACCCACCCCCCCCCCATGTGCTGTGCTGGCCTTCATCAGTGCTCACTAACAGCATTTGTCCCAAAAGTCTGTTAAGGCAATATGGGGGATCTTGTCTGTGTGTGTGTGGTGCCGGGGATGGGGAGACGGAGGGAAGCTGGACATGTGGGACCTCACGACGGGCGCCAGCGTGCAGTCGTTTCGTGCTCATGAAGACGCCATCACCTGCCTGCAGGTGAGAGCACACCTGTGCTCGTGTCTGTGTGTGTGTGCCCATGCGAATGTGTGCCTGCCTGTGTATGTATGTACGTTGAACTTCTTTTGCACCGTGCGTAGCCAACCATGCTAATTGGAGGTACGGGGGAAGGACAACAAACTTAACACAAAAAGCAGTTCTAAAGAAATTAGTTTTGAAAGTGCACTAGCTTATATACCCGGCGTTGCCCGGGCCAAAAATATATCAAAACTACTCTTAAAAATCTAACAGCAGTGCGTACTGACTGTGGTGGTACCTGCTATGATTACAGCAGTGAATGCTGACTCTAGCAGTATTTATCGACTCTATAGCACAAAGTACTCACCTGACAGAGTGGCGTTGTGAGGCCTAGTCCCGTGCAGAGCCTCCGGCCTCGCCTAGATTGTCCAGCCGGCCGAGGTGGCACCTTGGCAGGCTGGGCTGCTATCCGTGACCCCCCCCTCCCAGCCACGATCTCCCCGGCCGCTCTGCAGTAATATCTACGGCCTATAGTGGTAGCATCTAGCGACTGTATATATTAGTAAACCTGCACACATCGGGGGGTGGGGGGGGACATCACACTGAAGATTTAAGCTCAGTGTTTAGTGTATTTTAAAGCATTTTTTACGCGAAAGAAAATGTCCCCTCACTCCCACGGAAGGCGTGCGACTTGGCATGGGCCATCCCCCCACCAAAGGCGCGTGAGTTGGTATGGTCGTGCACCCGTCATGAACAAATAAATTAAGAAATAGCGCAAAAAAATCGCACTAAATCGCTAAATAACTAATTTCAAGTTGACGGATGTGAAAAAGGAATAGCGCTTGCTCACGGCTGGGCTTACGGCGTGGTACCCGGCTACTTTATTTATTCAACGTAAACCCACCGTTGGAGGAGCCAAATCCTTCGCAATCGCGCGAACACACACAAGCCACAAACCGACAAGCAGACGATGTTTTACTTATATATAGAAAGATAGCTCCATTGGCTTCCTAATATGAGAAGGAAGAGCAGTCCAGACGCCGCAGAAGCGCATCTGAAAGCGCGCGATGTATTTGTTAGATGCCAAGCCAAAAGCGGCTGCGAGGATGACCGCCGTTTGCATGGTGATTTATGCAAGGCGTTGTGGTTTATTTGTGGCAAGCACTTGTGTGTGATGAGTGTGACCGTGTAATGTATTCATTCAGCAAGGGGAAGCCAATGCAGCTTGGCCAGGACCTGTCACGTGTGTGTCCACATGTGTCTTTGTGTCTGACGCAAGAGGGAAGTGTTAACACGGCCGTTATCTCTCACCGTCTCTCTCCCACGCTCTCTCCTCCCCGCGTCTGTCTCTCCTCTTCCTCTCTCTCCCCCAAATTCTCCTCCGACTCTTTCTTTCTCTATTTTTGTAATCTCTCTTCCTCACTTTCTCCTCCGCTTTCTCCCAACCTGCTCCTCTCTTTCCCCTCTCTCCTCTTCTTCACTCCTCCCACTTCACGTTTGCTCTCTCTCTATCCGCTACCCCTATATCTCCCCGTATACCTATCTCTGCATCTCCCCATCTTCCTGTCACCCTGGCTCTCTCCCCATCTATCTCTCTCTCTCTACACATCTCCCCGGCTCCCTGTCTCTGTCCACGCTTGTTGCCTTCCATGCCTCTTTCTCTCTCTCCATCTTCCCATCTTTCTCCTCCCATCTCCCTGCTCCCTGCCTATCTCCATGTTTCTCTCCTTCCCTGCCACTTTCTCGCTCTCCCCCATCTCTCTCTCCCCGTCTCCTCATCCCTCTCCATGCATTTCTTCTTCCCTGCCTATTTCTCTCCATCCCCATCTCCCCATTCTCTCTGTCTCTCTCCCCATCTCTACCTTCCGATCTCTTCCTCCACCTCGGGCTCTCCCTCTGTCTCTCTATCTCTCTCTCGTCTCTCGCTTGCTCCTCCCCTTCCGCCCTCGGCGCAAGCTGCACGGCTCGCTGGCGTGCACGGGTGGCCGGGATGGCCAGGTGCGCGTGTGGGAGCTGCGCCCGGGCCCCCGCCTGCACCTGCTCTTCTGCACGGAGGGCGAGGAGTGGAGCGCCGACGGGCGCCGCCGTGGCGCGTCCCCCCTGCGCTGCCTCCTGGCGGGGCCGCGACCCCACGGCCGCCTCCTCTACTCCGCCGACGAAGGCGCCAGCATCCGGGTCCTCGACTGGCGGACGGGTGAGGGTCGCGGCAGGGGTCGGGGTCGCGGTCAGTGTCACGAGGTCGCGGTGAGGGTCGCGATCGGGGTCACGGTCAAGGTCGGAGTCTTGGTGAGGGTCGGGGCACGGTCAGTGTCCCAGTCGGGGTCATGGACGGGGTCAGGGTCCCGCTCGGGCAGGACTGTGGCTCGGTAAGTCACATCTAACGGCGTTAGTCGCCCATCCCCTTGTACATAAGAGATGCTCTCCGTGGTGTGTGTGTGTACGTATGTAGAACTTCTTCCGCACCGTAAGTAGCCAACCGTGTTAATCGGAGGTGCGGTACATTTGTTGATCCAGGTCCTCTCTTGCAAATGAGACTCATCCTGGTCCCTTGAGTTCTTAACCTTGTTACGCAAAATCAACTTGAAACCCTCCCTTATCGCCCTTCCCCTCCACCCCCCTCCCTATCAGGCTCCATATTGCGGAAGCTGCCCAACCACAACAGCGACTGCGGCTTCACCGACTGCCTGTCCATGGCAAGCGATGGCGGCGATGGCGGCACTCGCCTGATGCTGTCCGCGGGCTACGACATTGACCGAGGTCACGGCTACATCAACGGTGAGCGGTGGGGCAGAGGTCGCAAACGGGTTTTGATTCCTTACCCGTACCCGTTTCCCGGCCGCACCAGGGTCGCAAACGGGTACCCATACCCGGCCGTACCCGTACCCGGCCGGGCACGGGTATGGTACGGGTATCGGGTACCTGATTGCGACCTCTGGGATGAAGCCATGTTGCAGGCGCGGGTGGGTTGATTCTAGGAACTTGAATTGTGAGAAGAGACAAGACGTTGGGAAATGAGTGACAAACAGTTACTCACCAGTGACTCACGGCCTACCCGTACCCGGCCGCACCAGGGTCGCAAACGGGTACCCGTACCCGTACCCAGCCGGGTACGGGTAGCCGGGTATCGGGTAGGGTACGGGTATCGGGTACCCGGTTGCGACCTCTGCACCTGAGCAGCCACTGCTCCCGCCACCGTGGCGCCTGGTGTGCAGGAAGTCGTTGGTTCGATCCCGACCCTAATGCCTGCGGTATGTTTGGAGTTTACGTGTCTCTCTCTCTCTCCTTCGTAGTCGAGTCGATTTTTCTCCGGGTCCTCCGGTTTTTTCCCTCATTTCGAATTAACCGCACGCGTTTGCAGTATTTGGCTGCTGTAGATGTCCACGCGATAAGCCACTTAGTTGAGCTATCATTTGTGATGGCCAGGTCGCTTCTAAAAACAAGCGATATAGCTCAGTGGCCCTTACCTGATAAAATAAAAAAACAGTTCTAGTTTCTATTAAAGCTTTCGTGACTGCAGGGATTCATCTTCTTGGTTCTTTCGGTTGTGGCCGAAACGTCGTGAGAATTATTTTATTATGTTTTATTTTTATTATTTTATTATTTTCAATTCTACGTGACTTTACCGAAAGATCCAAGAAGATGAGTTTCTAGTTTCGTGTCTCCGTCCTCTCGCCCGTTGCCCCTCCCCTGCCCCCCCCCCCCCCCCGTGCATTCAGTGCGGCTGCTCGCGGAGGGCGGGGAGCCGTACGTAGCGACGCTGGGGGGTGAGGCGACCCCCCGCCTGCTCTGCGTCGCCACCACCTGCACCCCCAGCGGCCTGCAGCGCTGGGGCACGGGGGGGCGGAGCCTCCTCCTGTGGGAGGAGCTCCCGCACGGGGGCGGAGCCAACAGCCACCACCGCGAAAACGGGTACGCGGGCAGACGTCACTGGCACACGTGAGGTTACTCGTCACTCACGCACGGGTACGTGTCACTCATCTCTCAAGGCCACCACCTGTGACGATTATCTGAACCGGTCCTGGGCCTCCCCTAAGTCGACTCGGCCTCAAATGAGTATCCGGTGCGGTGTGTAAACATCGCCACTGGTGCCGCCCACCCACTCTCCTCGTGTGCCGTGCTGGCCTGCATAGGTGCTCGCCACAGCACTTACCCCGACAGTCTGTTGAGGCTATGAGGGGGAGCCTTGTCTTTGTCTGTGTTTGGGGAGCGGTAGTGCAGTGGTTAGCACGCCGCGCTACAAACCCGGCCACCCGAGTTCGATTCCCGCTCACGGTCATGAACGCCAGTGACGATTATCGTGCTAATCGCACGTCCGATTAGCACGGTTGGCTATGTACCGTTCAAAAGAAGTTTAACAGTATATATACATCTTAACCGGTCCTGGGCCTCCACTAGGTCGACTCAGCCTCAGTCTATTAAGGCTACACGGGGGAGCCTATATCTTGTCCGTGCATGCGTGCAGACATGTTGTGGCCTCGAGCTTCCGGCGCGAGTTTGAGCGAGACGAAGAAGTCTGGAGCGACGACGAGAGCTCGGCCTCCGACAGCTCGCTCGGTGAGTGCAGCGGAGAAACACAATCTTTATTTATGCTGGAGGAGGAATCCGATGAGCCTGTGAAGCTCTTTTCCACAGATGTCCAGAAGGGGCGCGAGGTAAGAACGTTACGACGCCAAACAATACAAAAACACGATAGGAGTACAAGAAAGAGCGAACAGGTCACCTAAACACATCCAAATTAAACGAAGCCATCCCCATCCTACCAGGCAAAGCCCACCGATGCATTCACTTATTTTCAGAAGCGACCTGGCCACAATGATCGTTCAGCAAAGGGGCTTAGCACGTGGAAATCTATAGCAATCCAAATATCACTTCGCACCACCCAGAGCCGCACCACCCAGAGTCGCACCACCCAGAGCCGCACCACCCAGTGCCGCACCACCCAGAGCCGCACCACCCAGAGCACACCACCCAGACCCACCACCAGAGCCGCACCAACCAGAGCCGCACCACCCAGAGTCTCACCAGCCAGAGCCGCACCACCCAGAGCCACACCACCCAGAGCCGCACCACCCAGAGCCGCACCACCCAGAGCCGCACCACCCAGAGCCACACCACCCAGAGCCCACCACCCCAGAGCCACACCACCCCAGAGCCACACCACCCAGAGCCACATGACCCAGAGCCGCACCACCCAGAGTCTCACCACCCAGAGCCGCACCACCCAGAGCCACACCACCCAGAGCCGCACCACCCAGAGCCACACCACCCAGAGCCCCACCACCCAGAAGCCCCACCACCCAGAGCCACACCACCCAGAGCCACATGACCCAGAGCCGCACCACCCAGAGTCTCACCACCAGAGCCGCACCACACCAGAGCACACGACCCAGAGCCGCACCACCCAGAGCCCACCACCCAGAGCCGCACCACCCAGAGCCACATGCCCCAGAGGCCGCACCACCCAGAGCCGCACCCCCAGATCCACATGACCCAGAGCCGCATGACCCAGAGCCGCACCACCCAGAGCACCACCACCCAGAGCCACACCACCCAGAGCCACATGACCCAGAGCCGCACCACCCCAGAGCCGCACCACCAGAGCCACATGACCCAGAGCCGCACCACCCAGAGAGCCGCACCACCCAGAGCCACACCACCCAGAGCCGCACCACCCAGAGCCACACCACCCAGAGTCACATGACCCAGAGCCACACCACCCAGAGTCTCACCACCCAGAGCCGCACCACCCAGAGCCACATGACCCAGAGCCACATGACCCAGAGCCACACCACCAGAGCCACCACCACCCAGAGCCGCACCACCCCAGAGCCACACCACCCAGAGCCGCACCACCCAGAGCCGCACCACCCAGAGCCAATGACCCAGAGCCGCACCACCCAGAGCCGCACCACCCAGAGCCACACCACCCAGAGCCGCACTACCAGAGCCGCCCACCCAGAGCCGCACCACCCAGAGCCGCACCACCCAGAGCCACACCACCCAGAGCCGCATGACCCAGACCAACACCACCCAGAGCCACACCACCCAGAGCCGCACCACCCAGAGACCGCACCACCCAGAAGCCCACACCACCCAGAGCCGCACCACCCAGAGCCGCCCCACCCAGAGCCACACCACCCAGAGCCGCACCACCCAGAGCCGCACCACCCAGAGCCGCACCACCCAGAGCCGCATGACCCAGAGCCGCATGACCCAGAGCCGCACTACCCAGATAGCCGCACTACCCAGAGCCACACCACCCAGAGCCACACCACCCAGAGCCGCACCACCCAGAGCCACACCACCCAGAGCCGCACCACCCAGAGCCACACCACCCAGAGGCCGCACTCACCCAGAGCCGGCACTACCCAGAGCCGCAACCACTGCAGAGCCACACCACCCAGAGGCCGCACCACCCGAGCCACACCACCCAGAGCCGCACCAACCCAGAGCCACACCACCCAGAGGCCGCAGCCACCCAGAGCCACACCACCCAGATCCGCACCAAACCACCCCAGAATCCACACCACCCAGAGCCGCCACAACCAGAGCCACACCACCCAGAGCCACACCCACCCAGAGCCGCACCACCCAGAGCCGCACACAGCCCAGAGCCCGCAGCACCCAGAGCCACACCACCCAGATCCACACACACCCAGAGTCGCACCACCCAGAGCCCGCACACCCAGAGTCAACACCACCCAGAGCGCACCACCCAGAGCCACACCACCCAGATCCGCACCACCCAGAGCCGCACAACCCAGAGCCACACCACCCAAGTCTCACCAGCCAGAGCCGCACCACCCAGGTCACGCCACCCAGAGTCCACCACCCAGAGCCACACCACCCAGAGTCTCACCACCCAGAGTCTCACCACCCAGAGTCACACCACCCAGATCACACCACCCAGACCTCACCACCCAGAGCCCACCCACCCAGCCACACCACCCAGAGCCCCACCACCCAGCCACCACCACGAGCCACACCACCCGAGCCACATGACCCAGAGCCGCACCACCCAGATCTCACCACCCAGAGCCGCACCACCCAGAGCCACACCACCCAGAGCCGCACCACCCAGAGCCACACCACCCAGAGCCCCACCACCCAAGCCCCACCACAGAGCCCACCACCCAGAGCCACATGACCCAGAGCCGCACCACCCAGAGTCTCACACCACCCAGCCGCACCACCCAGAGCCACCACCCAGAGCCGCACCACCCAGAGCCACCCACCCAGAGCCCACCACCCAGAGCCACATGACCCAGAGCCGCACCACCCAGAGCCGCACCACCCAGAGCCACATGACCCAGAGCCGCATGACCAGAGCCGCACCACCAGAGCCCCACCACCCAGAGCCACACCACCCAGAGCCACATGACCCAGAGCCGCACCACCCAGAGCCGCCCACCCAGAGCCACATGACCCAGAGCCGCACCACCAGAGCCGCACCACCCAGAGCCACACCACCCAGAGCCGCACACCCAGAGCCACACCCCCCAGAGTCACATGACCCAGAGCCACCCACCCAGAGTCTCACCACCCAAGCCGCACCACCCAGAGCCACATGACCCAGAGCCACATGACCCAGAGCCACACCACCCAGAGCCACACCACCCAGAGCCTCACCACCCAGAGCCACACCACCCAGAGCCGCACCACCCAGAGCCGCACCACCCAGAGCCACATGACCCAGAGCCGCACCACCCAGAGCCGCACCACCCAAGAGCCACACCACCCAGAGCCGCACCACCCAGAGCCGCACCACCCAGAGCCGCACCACCCAGAGCCGCACCACCAGCACACCACCCAGAGCCGCATGACCCAGAGCCACACCACCCAGAGCCACACCACCCAGAGCCCGCACCACCAGAGCCGCACCACCCAGGCCGCACCACCCAGAGCCACCACCCAAGCCGCACCACCCAGAGCCACACCACCCAGAGCCACCACCCAGAGCCGCACCACCCAGAGCCGCACCACCCGAGCCGCACCACCCAGACCGCATGACCAGAGCCGCATGACCCAGAGCCGCACTACCCAGAGCCGCACTACCCAGAGCCACACCACCCAGAGCCACACCACCCAGAGCCGCACCACCCATCCACACCACCCAGATCCGCACCACCGAGCCACCACCCAGAGCCGCACCACCCAGAGCCGCACTACCCAGAGCCGCACCACGCAGAGCCACACCACCCAGAGCCGCACCACCCAGAGCCACCCACCGAGCCCGCACCACCCAGAGCCACCCACACCCGAGCCGCACCACCCGAGCCACACCACCCAGAGCCGCACCACCCAGAGCCTACACCCACCCAGACCGCACCACCACCACGAGCCGCACCACCCAGCAGCAGCCAGCACCCCCCAGAGCCGCACACTCCAGTAGCCCACACACCCAGAGCCACACCACCCAGAGGTCCCACCACACAGAGCCGCACCACCCCGAAGTACACACCACCCAGATGCCGCACCACCCAGAAGTCCACACCACCCAGAGCCGCACCACCCAAGAGCCAGCACCCACCCAGAGGCCACACCACCAGGTCACCAGCCAGAGCCGCACCAACCAGAGTCCACAGCCACCCAGGAGAGTCTCACACACCAGAGCCACACCACCCCGAGTCACCCCCCAGAGTCTCACACCACCCCAGAGCTCACACCACCCAGAGTCTTACACCACCCAGAGTCTCATCCACCACCAGAGTCCACACCACCCAGAGTCCACACCACCCAGAAGCCTGCACCACCCCAGAGCCGCCACATCCACCCACAGAGCCGACACCACCCAGCAGCCGCACCACCCAGATGCCACACCCCCCAGAGGCCAGCACCACCCAGAGCCCACACACCCGAGAGCCTGCCACCACCCAGAGCCTGCACCACCAGAGCCCCCTGCACCACCAGGAGCCGCACCACCCAGAGCCGCATGACCCAGAGCCGACACCTGACCCAGAGCCTCACCACCCAGAGCCTACACCACCCAGAGCCGCACCACCCAGAGCCGCACCACCCAGAGCCGCACCACCCAGAGCCGCACCACCAGAGCCGCACCACCCAGAGCCACACCACCCAGAGCTGCACCACCCAGAGCCGCACCACCCAGAGCCACACCACCCAGAGCTGCACCACCCAGAGCCGCACCACCCAGAGCCGCACCACCCAGAGCTGCACCCACCAGAGCCGCACCACCCAGAGCTGCACCACCCAGAGCTGCACCACCCAGAGCCGCACCACCCAGAGCCACACCACCCAGAGCCGAACCACCCAGAGCCGCACCACCCAGAGCCGCACCACCCAGAGCCGCACCACCCAGAGCCGCACCACCCAGAGCCGCACCACCAGAGCCGCACCACCCAGAGCCACACCACCCAGAGCCACATGACCCAGAGCCGCACCACCCAGATCCGCACCACCCAGAGCCGCACCACCCAGAGCCGCACCACCCAGAGCCACACCACCCGAGCCACACCACCCAGAGCCTCACCACCCAGAGCCGCACCACCCAGAGCCGCACCACCCAGAGCCGCACCACCCAGAGCCGCACCACCCAGAGCCGCACCACCCAGAGCCGCACCACCCAGAGCCGCACCACCCAGAGCGACCACCAGAGCCGCACCACCCAGAGCCGCACCACCCAGAGCCGCACCACCCAGAGCCGCACCACCAGAGCCGCACCACCCAGAGCCGCACCACCCAGAGCCGCACCACCCAGAGCCGCACCACCCGAGCCGCACCACCCAGAGCCGCACCACTCAGATCCCACCACCCAGAGCCGCACCACTCAGAGCCGCACCACGCAGAGCCACCACTCAGAGCCGCACCACCCATAGCCGCACCACCCAGAGCCGCACCACCCAGAGCCGCACCACCCAGAGCCGCACCACCCAGAGCCTCACCACCCAGAGCCGCACCACCCAGAGCCGCACCACCCAGAGCCGCACCCCCAGAGCCACACACCCAGAGCCCCCACCCAGAGCCGCACCACCCAGAGCCCACCACCCAGAGCCGCACCACCCAGAGCCGCACCACCCAAGCCGCACCACCCAGAGCCGCACCACCCAGAGCCGCACCACCCAGAGCCGCACCACCCAGAGCCGCACCACCCAGAGCCGCCCCACACCCCAGAGCCGCACCACCCAGAGCCGCACCACCCACCGCACCACCCAAGCCGCACCACCAGCCCACCCACCCAGATCCGCACCACCCAGAGCCGCACCACCCAGAGCCGCACCACTCAGAGCCGCACCACCCAGAGCCGCACCACCCAGAGCCACACCCAGAGCCGCACCACCCAGAGCCGCACCACCAGACCGCATGACCCAGAGGGCCGCGGCTGTTGGCCCTTCTTGTGATCGATCAACCGATCGACCGAACATTATCAATGTGAATCTTTAAATGAGTATCATTGGTACTTGTGTTTTTGGGACTGTCTTCGTCATCATGCAGTTGACCAAGAACATTTTGACAACTGCCGGATGGTTTAACACGTAGGCCTTCGCGACCAATATCACCCATAATATACGGGATTTTTTTTGGGTTAGATCGCGTTAATATCAATGTGTCGTTTAACCCGCCACCACCCGAAACAGCCAATTAGTAAGGTTTGTCATGTAAGCGTAACGTACTCTTAGGTTTTTTCGGTAAAGTCACGTAGGTAAAAAATAAAAAATACAAATAATAAGTCTCCGTCATCAGGTGGAACCGTCACAGCTAGATTTACTGTATCAAGTGATTTTATTTCTATTATTATTTCTATAATTTTTATTATTTATTTTTATTTTTTACCTACGTGACTTTACCGAAAAAACCTAAGAGTATGAATCCTTGCAGTCACGAAAGCTTCAAATCTAGAATAAACAGAACGTGCCAATTCGTTACTAGTACAGCCACACCGGTATGTTGGAGAGCAAATCCACAACATTTACAATCTGAGTACGACGTTTCGCCAGTAATTACAACCGGTATCCCGTATTATGCCTGATGGTGATGATGATGCTGCTGGCTGTAACCATCGGCGAGACATGTGCTCTCGAGTTGTTTGGTGTGTGCGGGTCGCTGTCCCTACTGCAACAGCAACACCGGCGGTGCTGCTGAAGTGGTAATACGTCATGCCACATCCGAGATCTTCACACCAGTCCAAAACTTTTCATTTCGCCACTGACATCACTGCCTCCGAGCTGCGGCGGAGCGCCGTGACCGTAGCCTGCGTTGTATTTTCTTCACGATGAGACCTCCACTCATATTCGCCACCGCACCACGCCTTTCTACGGGAGGTCGTGGGTTCGATCCTGACCCTGACGCTGTATATTTGGAGTCTGCGTCTTTATCTCATCACCGCAGTGGCTTGAAGATGTTAACTACCTCGCCTGGTATACAGTGAGGTCGTGGGTTCGATCCCGACCCCAGACACCTGCTGCTGTATATTTGGAGTCTGCTCTCTCTCTCTCCCCGTGGCCACGTGGATTTTTCTCCCGGGTCCTCCGGTTTTCCCCTCCACACTTAGAATGAACATCACGTGTTTATGTATTTGGCTGCCGTACATTTCCACGTGATGAGCCACTTCGTTGAGCTATCATTTGTAATAGCCAGGTCGCTTCTGAAAAAGAGCAATATAGCTCAGTGGGCATTAACCTAGTAAAATAAAAATAGTTTAGTTTGGACTCACATTCTAAATCAGTCTGGTGTTTTCAACACAGCCATTAAGAACCCCCCGAGACAGATAGAGAGACACATCCAGACTTGGCCTTGGTATTTGAAACCAGGATCTTGATGGCGCTTTCTCAGTATCTGTGGCATGGCCATTTTCAATCCCCTGAGAGACAGAGATACCAATATAGTTAATCTCTCCAGTGTGTCTGACACAGCCATTGTAAACCTCCTCCCCCTCCCCCCCGCCCGTCGTTTTCCATCATCCAGGCTCAAGTTCCAGGGCTTCGAGCAGCGAAGACGACACGGAGCCTGTGAACGGGAGGAGGAGGACCTGGTGCAGCGTCATGTGATCGCAGCCCAGGGGGGCACCGGCCACACGGGGAACGGTGGCTCGCGCGTCCTTATCCACAACCACTGCCGGCCCAGTTCTGGCCCGGGCTCCGTGATCGACTCTGCTTCTCCATCACCTCTTTGCTACACCGACAACCGAGCCGTGCCGTGCCGTGGCCAGCCCTGGTGCGGCTCAGGAGGCGCCAGGGCGGTTTTTCCACTGCGCGAGCCGAGCCGAGCCCGCCCCGGCTTGGCCCCGAGCGGGTTTCAGACGTCTGGTGACGCCAGCGTAGCACGGTTTGGCTCTGGGCTACTACCCGTTGCCGTGAGAGTGCCACGCTGGCTCAGCTGGGCTGTTGCCACTTGGCAACCGGGCCCGTGCTGGCCTGCTGTCAGACTGGTTCCGGCCCAGGCAGAGCACTAGGACACGAAGTCAGTTCCCATGATTTGTGAGCCAGGGGGCACACCATCCACCCTGCCCTTTGTAGCTACAGAGAGAGAGAGAGAGAGGCGGGGGGAGGGGCTCGGGAAGCAATCTTAAAAGGGCTGCTTTTACTAAATTTCAGAGTAGACTGATGAGTTGATGGGTTACGGAACGGTTTGCCCACCATGGGTTTACCCATTCAGGAATTGACTCCGTTTAAAAATAAATAGATATATAGTACCTTTTTCTCCGCCTTTATCTCGATTGTTGCCATCGTCGTCGTCACGAGACGAGCACGCGTTTCACTTTGGACCTCTGGCACCGACGTGAGGTCCAAGTCGGAGGGTGCCCCCCCCCACCCTCTGCCCCCCCCACCCTCTGCCCCCCCCCACCCTCTGCCCCCTCCCCCACCCTCTGCCCCCCCCCCCCACCCCCCGCTCCCATCTCTGGCGGCGGGCCTGACTCCGCACCCTCCGATTAGCACGGTTGGCTACGCGCGGCGCGAAAAGAAGTTCGGGGCGGACACGTACGTAGAAATTCCACGTTCCTTTGGCAGAGACTGTTCCTCCAAAAACACGGTCTCACGGTTGACATCCTATCGAGGTGGCTGCTCATTTTCTTGACGCTGGAGGGAGAATAACGATGGATGTTCCGAGTCAACCCGTGACCGGGACTTGACCGCGATTGTGAGTCGAACGCTGCGCTTTACCGTGGCATCTTCTGGCCTGGTTCGATAGGACTGACAACACTAATTATCGCAATAATATTACACTGCGTCGTTCGTTATGCCACGCGCGCGCCTTGTCGGACTCGTGTCAGTGCTTCACGTCTTATCTCGGCAGGTGGTCACCGTCGGAATGCGAGGCGACGATCCGGAACCGATCCGGAACCGCTCCGGGGGTGTTCTGGGAAGGCCCCCCCCTGCGGCCCCCCCCTGCGGCCCCCCCCCTGTGGCCCCCCCCCTGCGGCCCCAGGGGGGGTTAGACCCCAGGGGGGGTATAGGCCCCAGAGGATGGTTAGGCCTCAGAGGGGAGGTTAGGCTCCAGAGGGGGGGTTGTTAGGCCCCAGGCTTTGATTCCGCGGAAGGAGAAATCGCGGCGCTTTCTCTAATTGCGTGCCGCTTTACTCCGAAGCAGTGCGGGTGATTTTTTTTCCGCCACGGACTTTCAGCAGTCGCCTTCCGCGTAGTCGGATCCCACACTCGGCCCGTGTGCGAAAGCGATCGGTCGAGAGTGGGCGCAGCGTAGGGGTTCATCTTGTCTCTGCCGATTGGGAAATCGTCGACGTAAATACGAGCGAGTGATGGCGCCCCGAGCCTGTAGGAGACCGTCGAGTAAAGGTCCGTGCGTGTCGGTGCGTTCCATCTGTGCTTGTGGATCAGTGCTGTGTGTGTTGGTGAGTGCTCTCTGTGTGTGTTGGTGAGTGGTGTGTGTGTGTTGGTGAGTGGTGAGTGGTGTGTGCGTGTCGGTGAGTGGTGTCTGTGTTAGTGAGTGCTGTGTGTGCGTGTCGGTGAGTGGTGTCTGTGTGTGTGTCAGTGAGTGCTCTCTATGTGTGTTGGTGAGTGGTGTGTGTGTGTCGATGAGTGCTGTGTGTGTTTGTGAGTGCTCTGTGTCGGTGAGTGGTGTGTACGTGTCGGTGAGTGGTGTCTGTGTGTGTGTGTTGGTGAGTGCGCTGTGTGTGTGTATTGGTGAGTGCTCTCTGTGTGTTGGTGAGTGCTCTTGTGTGTGTCGGCGAGTACCCCTGGCCGTGTGTGTCGAGCCGTGCCGTGCTTCGTCTGAGTGTCCTGTCACTCGGGGCTCGTGCGCGTCTCCAGCGGTCAGGAGCGTCGTAATGAAGGTGACGGATTTGTGCCAAAACGGAGGTTCCCGAGTTCAGATTTACAGCGATTTCTAAAATGTGACGGCAATAAATGTCATAGAAGAAGTTTCGCTGTGTGCACGCGTGTGTGTCAAACGTGTTAATATATTTGTAATTAAGTGTATGTAGGTGTGCGCGCGTGAGCTGGCGTGTGTCAATGCTACGAACCCAGCGACCCGAGTTCGATTCCTGCTCGCGGCCAACTTAAGTGGTGAACAATCCCTACTGGTCCTGGGGACTTCCCTTAGGTCGCCTCAGCCTTAAATGAGCACCTGGTGCGGTGTGTAAACATCAGCATTGGGGAGACAAAGGCGGCCGGAGCGTGGTGCTGGCCACCCACCCCCTCGTGTGCTGTTTCGGCCTTTGGTAATGATAACGGCACTTGTCCCAACAGTCTGTTAAAAGCTATACGGGGGATCTTTGTCTTTTGTCAGTGCCCCTAACCTGGCAAAAGCTCTGTGGTGACGTTGCCAGCACTGAGTGAGGCATGATTGCTATTTTGTGCGCGCGCGCGCGCATATCGACCTATCCGTGTGTGCACGTGCGTGGGGAGCGGTGGTGCAGCGGTTAGTGCGCTGCGCTACGAACCCGGCGACCCGAGTTCGATTCCCGCTCACGGCCACCAACACCGGCGACGACAACAACAACCGCTATTCGCCACTAAGTGGCGGTGACGTCACCACCACGGCGTTTGTGCCAGGCTTTGTGCACGTTAAAGCCACGTGAAGCGTCGACCCAGCAGGTGCCATGCGGTTGACTGGCCGAGATGATCTTCTTGGTTTTTTCGGTAAAGTCACGTAGAAGGGAAGTAATAAAATAATGAGTGGCCGATGCACCGCCTGTGACCCCCACTGTGCGAACAAAGACTGCGTCACGCGCGTTCAGATGCGCTGCTTCTGTGACCGTCTGGAACGCTCTTCCTTTCTGATATTAGAAAGCCACTGGGGAGCTACGCACTTTTACTTCATCATTTAGATTGATAAACTCACTTCTTTAGAACTGCCTTTTGTCTTTAGTTTGTTATCCTTCCCCCCCCCCGCACCTCCGAATTAGCACGGTTGGCTACGTACGGTGCGAAAGAAGTTCAACTTACACACAGGGACAGCTGCCACTGTGGGAGGGGGTGCCCCTTTCAAACGCGTTGATACGAGACGCGTGTGGTACAGCGCTCTTGAGACGTCACAGCATATTGGGGAAGAGGACGATGTCTCTACGAATCCCCACAATCATGATGAGGACTATGATGAAGATCGCGATGATCGCGTCAAGATCATCACAGTGCCATCGACCGAGCTCGAGAACTAAACTCGCCTCTGTCCACTAGACGGCGCCATTGAGGAGAGGAGTAGGTGAAGAGGGCACGCCAAGGAAGGGGGAAGGAGGCTTGGGGGAGGGGGGGTTCGACAGGGTCCAGGCTGCCGGGGGCTTAAAGCACGAGCGGTTGAAGACTCGAGGCCGAGAATGGGCATGGAGAGAGTGGGGAGAGAGACACGGTGGGGAGAGAGAGTGGGGAGAGAGACAGCGGAGAGAGACAGTGGGGAGAGAGACACGGTGCGGAGAGACAGTGGGGAGAGAGACAGCGGAGAGAGACAGCGGGGAGAGAGACACGGTGCGGAGAGACAGTGGGGAGAGAGACACGGTGCGGAGAGACAGTGGGGAGAGAGACAGCGGAGAGATAGCAGGGAGAGAGACACGGTGCGGAGAGACAGTGGGGAGAGAGAGAGCGGAGAGAGACAGCGGGGAGAGAGACAGCGGAGAGATAGCAGGGAGAGAGACACGGTGCGGAGAGACAGCGGGGAGAGAGACAGCGGAGAGAGACACGGTGGGGAGAGAGTGGGGGAGAGAGACAGCGTGGAGAGAGACACGGTGGGGAGAGAGTGGGGGAGAGAGACACGGTGGGGAGAGAGTGGGGGAGAGAGACAGCGGGGAGAGAGACACGGTGGGGAGAGAGTGGGGGAGAGAGACAGCGTGGAGAGAGACACGGTGGGGAGAGAGTGGGGGAGAGAGACAGCGTGGAGAGAGACACGGTGGGGAGAGAGTGGGGGAGAGAGACACGGTGGGGGAGAGAGTGGGGGAGAGAGACACGGTGGGGAGAGAGTGGGGGAGAGAGACAGCGGGGAGAGAGACACGGTGGGGAGAGAGTGGGGGAGAGAGACAGCGTGGAGAGAGACAGCGGGGAGAGAGACACGGTGGGGAGAGAGTGGGGGAGAGAGACAGCGTGGAGAGAGACAGCGGAGAGAGACACGGTGGGGAGAGAGTGGGGGAGAGAGACAGCGGAGAGAGACAGCGGGGAGAGAGACACGGTGGGGAGAGAGTGGGGGAGAGAGACAGCGTGGAGAGAGACACGGTGGGGAGAGAGTGGGGGAGAGAGACAGCGGGGAGAGAGAGTGGGGAGAGAGACAGCGTGGAGAGAGACACGGTGGGGAGAGAGTGGGGGAGAGAGACACGGTGGGGAGAGAGGTGGGGGAGAGAGACAGCGGAGAGAGACAGCGGAGAGAGACACGGTGGGGAGAGAGTTGGGGAGAGAGACAGCGCGGAGAGAGACAGCGGAGAGAGACACGGTGGGGAGAGAGTGGGGGAGAGAGACAGCGTGGGGAGAGAGTGGGGGAGAGAGACAGCGGAGAGAGACAGCGTGGAGAGAGACAGCGGGGAGAGAGACGGTGGGGAGAGAGTGGGGGAGAGAGACAGCGGAGAGAGACAGCGGAGAGAGACACGGTGGGGAGAGAGTTGGGGAGAGAGACAGCGTGGAGAGAGACAGCGGAGAGAGACACGGTGGGGAGAGAGTGGGGGAGAGAGACACGGTGGGGAGAGACTTTTGACTTTTAAAAACCTTTTATTGTCGCCAGCCGCAACAGCACTGGAGGCGATTCCGATACGAAATACGCAGTCACCAGTAACAAATAACACAAAACCACGCACTCTGGCGCTTAGATGCACCGCGCACAACACGAAAGAAAAGCCACGTGGTGGTGGTGGTCATCGCACACGCCACGATGACGAGCGAGCGCTTCAGAAGGTGAACACCACGAGGGTGCCGTCCACGCTGGTGCAGAGAGGGGCTTGTCCGGCCCCCCAGCGTTCGAAGAAGACGCGCTGCACATCACCGCCACGTGTGTGGTACATGGCGTGCTCCAGCCGGAGCCGCGCCTTGAGCAGGCCCCTGAACACTGGAAGCTCCACAGAGCAGCCGTCAGTGTCACCTTCCAGCATTTTTTTTCTCGTTCTGTACACCGCCATTTCGCCTGAGCACAAGCGAAGTTGGCGAGGTCATGGCGCTTGTTAGCCAGGTAAGGCACCACCCCATATACGAAG